ATTCTCTTTTTCAGGGAAGTCATTAAAAAGTATGATAGACATAAAGTAAATAATTATGTCTAAGGTGAATTCGTGGGTAGGATTGAGTCTAGATTGTGGTTGGAATTCCTCTATATGGTGGCATTGATTTTGCCTAATTACTGAAAAATATGCGGCTATAAAATTAACAATTATGTGGTGGATATCGACGTTGAACGTTGATCGACGGTGATATCTAGCGTATCTTCTTCTTCAAGTTTCATACTTTTCTACATACGTACGCTTCCAGCGTATAGACATTCATCCGCCATCTATTTGACATTGTCCCTCTCTGGATAACAATAAAAATTTCGAATCCTGCACCAAACTCCTCATCTCGCAACCATAAATGTTGCCTTCTTCCATTACTTTATATTTTACTTTGGGCCCATTAAAATCATTCTGGTGATCAATACTTATGACGTCTCATTATATGTCACAAATGGGAAACTTTTCGTTGTTTAATAGTTTGTAATAATTTATCTCGGTTCTAGCTCTTCTCAATACTTCGTCGTTTATCACATAATCAACCCATGAGTGCGCAGTAGCTTCCTAGGAATCCACATTTCAAATGCTTCAAATTGATTTATTAATTTTAATTTGAGGGCCCATATTTTCAGCCCCGTATATCAAGAGTCATATTAACATTTTATCACGAGTGGAGTCGTAGGGATAGCAGAATCTCCCTCCGGTACATGATACTATAACAAAACAAGATAAGTCAACGCGCATGGTCTTGTGACGTAAGCCCGAGACAACTTTAATGACAGCAATTTAAACTTTAATAGCAGAGCAAATTTTCTATTGGATAATAATAAAATGTTTCTGTAGATAATAATATAGACTAATGCCCATTTTAAAAGAACTGAAGTAATACTTTATTTTTGATAGGTCTTTAAAAAAAGTTACTTTGGATGTATCTAGTATGTAGTGAACTGGAACATATTTTTTGTAGTTATAATGGTGACCCCATTAAAAATAACAAAAAAATATTTAAAAAAAACTTAATAGAAGCTGCAAAATATTAAATTATCGAAGATGTAAAATTACTTTTTTATAGTAGATGTAAAATGTGTTTTAAAATACGATGTCTAAATCAAAATATTAAAGATAATACAATACCCACAAAAAGAAAAATCAGACAAAGATTGTAAAATAATTGTCTTAAATGATATTCATAAAGTCTCAAGTATGACCGGCTTTCCTTTATGGTCAAATTCTTTATTACATTTTTGCCGGCTTTTTATATTTTATTATGTTTTGTAAGCAATATTTATTTTGTTTGTAATACACACAATCAAATCGTAGATTTCATATATTTCTTTAATTAATTTCATAAATTACTTATTAATTTTCAAAGCACGTTTTCACAGAAAGTAACTAGTTATGACTTCTTAGTACAAGATAATGGCATCGAGGTATACTTACCGTTAACAGTTTAAGTTTTGAAGTTGTTCTTACAGTAATGGAACAACGTTGCCATATGATGCATCGTTACAAATAATGATACATACAAGTCCCCTGCTTTGTCTCGCTAATGACGACATGCGCAACGTCAATTAAAAATTAGAACAGCAAGTGGCTGGACATATCTTGTTGTTATAGTATCATGCCTCCGGTAAAAGTATTTTTTGAATTATAATCATTGTCGATTTGCCATGGTTGTTTCAATTTTATTTTAATGTCACTATCCAGTTTATCATGTTATAATGCAACCAAAGTATTTTGAACTTATCAACTCTTCTAAGGTTAACTGTCCACTAATATTTAAGCTTGATTATATTATGTCTAGCATATAAGGACAAATAACGAGAACATTGCTACAGAAGAAACGAGGAAAATACTACAAATCCTTAAATAATACCGTCGAGAATTTAACCACGATTAAATAATTGTAAAAAAACTAACACGTGAAATTTAACATGATAAAAACACAGTTCTTAACAGATGGGCAACACATTTCAGCGAACATCGAAATATAAACATATTAAAGGAGGTTACAACATAGACAATCAACAAATCACAACTTCAACTACACAGGAAGACCAACAAGAGAAGAAGTGTAAAATGCCATCCTAAAACTCGAAAGACAATAAAACACCGATAAAGACAATAAAACCGATGTATACTGTTCGAACATGAATATAAAAAAGGTGGTGATCAACTTTTTGCAGCAATTTATAAACTAAGAGTACTTATATGGCAGTATGAATGGTACCAGCAGAGTGGCTAAGTAAATAATATGCCCGTCGCATAAAAAGGTGATCAACTGAGTGTAAGATCTTATAGAGGCATTACTCTGTTAGCATCTGCGTATAAAATCTTCGCAATGTATTGGTTTGAAAGCTTAAACATTTTACAAAGATATTGTTGGTCAATATCAATGCGGATTTTACTGCTGAAAAGTCAACTACACATCAAATTCAAGCACATAGGCAG